TGTGTGTGTGTGTGTGTGTGTGTGTGTGTGTGTGTGTGTGTGTGTACTTGAGTGTGAAGATGTGAATGTCCGTGCATGTACATCTGGAGCCCGCATTCCTATTAGGTACTCCCATATAGTTTCCCTCTATTGTTCTCTGCTCTATTGAGCTGAGATGGTGTCTCACTGAAGTGGAAGCTCCCCTTTCAAGTAGGCCGGCTGGCCAGTGCGCTCTCAGGATCTGTATGTTGCCTCTGCCTCTCTATCCCGGCTCTGGAATTACAGGCACAGGTCCGCCTTCTGCATGGATTCTGCCCTTCTACTCTCTCCTCATCTCATCTTATATGGTACGTCAGATTAACTTTGATCAGTCGGCCTATTAAACAGGCCAAACTTCTGCCCCAAATGCTAGTGTGTGAGCTGATTTGGAGATGTCCTTCTCTATCACAGGGACTTCTGCATTTCTTTTTTTTTTCTTTTTCTTTTCTTTTTTCTTTCTTTTTTTTTTTTTTTGTTTTTGTTTTTGTTTTTCGAGACAGGGTTTCTCTGTGTAGCTTTGCGCCTTTCCTGGAACTCGCTTTGGAGACTAAGCTAGCCTCTCTGGCCTTGAACTCAGAGATCCGCCTGGCTCTGCCTCCCAAGTGCTGGGATTAAAGGCATGCGCCACCAACCACCCAGTGACTTCTGCCTTTCTAACACCCACTAAAGCTGCTCTACTGAGAGAGTGAAGGACTCAGGAGCCCCTTGGCAGCATCAGATGTCAAATCTAGTCTTGATTTGGTCACAAAGTCAATCTGTAGACAAGTTATAGAATAGAAATGGTTCATGTTTAACCAGAGGCCCATAGCCTCTGCTCTCTGGTCCACATGCTCCCCCTGCATCTCCGAGTCAGGGCTCAGTCCTCCCTGCTCAAGCATGGCAGCCACCCTTTTTCTTGCCTCCCTACCATTGGTACTTACGTGAAGACCTCAAACCCCCATCCTGCCAGAGCGGTGAAGAGCCTGGGGCTCAGGTCTCGAGCTGGGTTCATGGCGCAGCCGGTGTTGAGGCCCAGAGAACAAGAAAGGGCAATGATCAGGAGGCCAATGATAACGGGCTCTAGGCCTCTGGGGACCCCCATGTTTCTGGAGTCAAAAATGGCGAAGACAATCAGAAGGAGGAACATGGTAGACAGCACCTGGAGCAGGAGAAAGGGTTTCAGAGCTCAGTCTGTCCTGTGCACCTGCTCACCCAAAGCCAGCCCTTCTGTGAAGACATTCAAACACCCGGGGCTGACACCGAGAGCCAGCACAGTTGAGAGCACTTGCAGAGGACATGGGTTCAGTTCTCGGCACCTACACAGAAGCTCAGCTGTAACTGCAGTTCCTGGGAATCCGATGCCCTCTTCTGACTTCCACAGGCCCTACAAGCACCTGGTGCACAGATATAGAGGCAAAACACATCCACCTAAAGTAAATAAATCTTTAAAAAATGACACTAGTGGCAGCTGACACAGGGGACAAGAGTGGCTCTTCCACAGACATGCTAGAAGCAGATGCTGACGGAGTCACCCACTGCAGACTGGTTCCCTGCTAAAGGTCACACAGTTGGTCCAGCTCCGGAGGAGACTGGTCCTCAACTATCACACTTTCTGCTAAGCTGCTAGTCAGGGCAAGTGAGGGGCAAGTGGCAAGGTCAGAAAGTGAAGGCGGGCTGGTTCAGACTGGATGTAAAGACAGCAGGCAAGAGAGCAATAGATGAACACACGAAGGGGATGGACAGACGCTTCTCATCGGGAGAATCAGGCTGATGAAATGAGTGGGTAAACCCGCGTTGCAAACAAAAGAAATGCCAATGGGAGCAAAGTTCCCGGGGTCCTCTAGTGCAACTTAACACACGCTAGACTCTTGAAAGGAAATCCCGCAATGACTTACCAATGTGCATTTAAAAACCCAAGTTCAGGCGAGCAATTCGACAGGCCAAACTCACATCATAGACATAATCCAAACTATGGAAAATTACTTTAAAATATATACATTTACTTAAGCATGGTTTGTCGTACTGGAAACTGGAAGCCATTTAAGCAAACATTAATAATGTCTAGGAGAACTGTGTTACAGGGTGTCTATCCCACGACTGACTCTAGAGACACTAAGACCTATCAACAGCACCAAGTGGGGTGGCTCAGTGGATAAGGCTGTTTGCTGCCAAGTTAAGTTCAACCTCTGAGCCCACCTGGTTGAAGGACAGAGCCAGCACCCAAAAGTTGTGCTCTGGCTTCTGCATGTGTGCTATGGCATGCACATGTGTGCATATACACATACACACTAAATACACATCAAATTTTTTTTTTGAAAAAAAAAAAAGAACCAAAAACATAAAACTACATGGTAACATTTTAAGTGCTTATAGCATTGAGAAATTAAACATTGCAAATACACTTTTTTGAAAAATACACACAAAAAGTAATAGTGAGTGACATATAAAAATGTTAACAATCTCAAGTATATGCCATTTACCGGGAGGCTAAGCCAAGACCTCAAAAAGCTCTGAGTTACTTGTACAAGGACAAACAGGAGGTCAGCAGCAAGAAGCACAACTAGGTCTCCCCAGTAGAGTGCAGAGTTTCTAGAGAGGCTTGGGTTGCCCTCTTGTCATTGGGGTGCTATGTCAGGGATGCCTCTGGGACCAGTGAGGGAATGGAAGAGGGATGTGTCTGGGAGAAGCAGGAAGAGTGTCACTCCAGGACTCAGTGGAGAATGATGAATTGTGGCACCAAAGTCTATGGGACCAGAGGTCAACTTTGTTCCTCAGATCCTCAGAGTAGCTGGGAGAACAAGCCCCTGGGCAGAAAGAACAAGGGACAGGCCAGTGCCAGTGCGAGTCCAAGCCCGGAAGGTCAGCATTCTTCATCTCTTGCCTATAGTGGGATAGGTCCACATTCACGGGAGAGTTCTGTGAATGTCCTTCCAGAGCTCTGCTTGATTCCAGTCTTCCTTAGAAGATACATTTGGCTGGATGGAGAGGTGAGTCAGCTTCAAGAAACTCTGAAGGTTTTGCCCATCCCCAAAGGTACCCCAGTTGCCTTGGTGACTCGGCAGATAAATGGCTAACTGCTCTGGGTTTTTGTGGGCACTGCATGCTTAACAATTCCCACCGCCCAAGGGCATCCAGATGGGGCTGCAGCAATAGACTCCTGGTGCTTTGGAGCTAGAAAGATTAATTTTGTTCATCTCACTCTGTGCAGTAGCTAATATCAGAGATGTAAGAACCTCAAATCTGGACCACATCCTGCCTTCAGCAACGTGCTCTGTACCTTCTCTCCTCATACCTATTTGCATACTGCTGCCTAAACAACCCTCCTGTGACCCCCTTCTCTTCAGACAGCTCCACTTCCCCCTACTTGTTAAACTTCTGTTTCCAATCAGTTCATCTAGTATCAGAGATGGGAAGACCCTGATAGGTAATGTGTCCCAACCTGCCCACCATCCAGAGTTTATCATTCCCACAGTTCCTATAGTCTACCATTTAGAGGCCACCAGACTGGCCTCCAACAACTACCTTCAGTGACTCCTGTTCCTGGGAGACAAGGTCTTTACTTAGTGTGGGCCAAATTTCTTGAAGTCTTCTTTTTATGGGATATAACTTGGCATAATTATAATCTCACTAATTTATACTCAGTCATTCATTAATAGACATTCTTTGGTGTTCAGTGATGGGAAGCCTGCCTTTCATGTCCAGTGCCCCAGGTTGAATCCCTAGTGCTGCAAACAAAATTTTGGAGCTCTTTTTTGTGATGCACCCAGGTGATGGGCTCTGTCAAGAGGCAGCTCAATATATCCTTCCCAGCTATGAAACCCATTGATGATGAATGCACAGTTAGACTTTTCTATGAGAAGCACATGGCTTCAAAAGGTGCTGCCAATGTTCTGGGTTGAGAGCGGAGGAACATGTAGACTGAATCAGTGTTAGGAATGATAAGATTTTCCCATAAAGCATGGTGTTTTGACCTGAAGCAGAGTGGGGCTACTGTTGAGTCAGGGGCATCCTTGCTATAGACCAAGAAAAGCTGAATCGAGGAAACAGAAGTCTGTTTAGGGTGCATTGTGGATGCTAATTGGAGTGTTCTCAACTTGGATGTTGTAAAAAAGACAAAAAGGAGAGAGGGATATTCCTGGACTGACAGATACTACTGTGTTTCAGCTGTTGGAGGCCAGAAAGAGCTAGCCAACTCTTCAAGCTTTTCAGTTTCTCTAAAGAAGATGATGTTCACCAATATGTTGTCAGAAAGCCATTAAACAGAGAAGAGAAGTCCAAGATCAGAGCACCCAAGATTCAGTATCTTGTTACTCCACATGTCCTGAATCACAAATGCTGACAGTAATCTAAGGAAATAATACACCAAGAAAGCTGAAGAGAAGCCAGGCGGGTGGTGGTGGCGGCGGCGGCGGCGGCGGCGGCGGCGGCGGC